AGTTAGTTTCGCTTAAAGTTAAATCCATTATATTTTTTTTATATATATAATAAACAAGTACAATATCAATCGAGTAATTGCGGCCGTGGTAAATTGTAGTAAAAAAATATTGGATGTATCTGGAATCTGGTTGTAATCGCGAGGTTGATATCATGACTGTCCTACACATCAAATTAAAATTCAAAAGGTAGATGTATAAAATGGCATGGGTACAATTAATTATCATTATTAAATACAATCAAAGGGGACCTATATGCTATAGTATAGTAGTGTAGTCAAAATCCAATCCACACCATCTCCATCTAATTGCAAAAAGCTCTACAAACCAGCACATCACTCACTCTCAGATCCCTAATTGGTCTGTCTGTCTCCTAAAAATCCCTTTTATCTTCTTCAGGGCTCGATTGGGTGAAAATGAACCCCACACAACTAATATTATTACACAGGAGGAGGCTGCTCCAACTTTCTAAATCCGGAAACATTACAGAAACCTCCAACTTCCTCTCCCCCACCACGGCCGCGGCCGCGGCCGCCGATGGAGTGGACCCCACTTTCCAGCCGGTCAACAACGGATCCCCCTCCTCTTCCTCCTCTTCCGCCGCCGCCGGGAGGAGGCCGTTCGAACCAGCCACGCACTTCGACTCCTCTATGGCCCTCACTATCCTCGTCCTTCTCACCGCCCTCTTCTTCATGGGCTTCTTCTCCGTCTACATCCGCCGCTTCGGCGGTGGCGGAGGTAGACCGCCGTCGAGCGCCGCCGCTGGTCCAAGGCAGCCGGAGAACCGGAGGGGTGGCCTGGACCCGTCAGCCGTGCGGTCGCTGCCGCTGGTGGCGTACGGAGGCGACGGGAGCTGCTCGATCTGCCTGACCGAGTTCGAGGAGGGGGAAGCAGTGAAGGTCATCCCCTACTGCGGTCACGTGTTCCACCACGGGTGCATCGACACGTGGCTGGCGTCGCACGTGACCTGTCCGCTGTGTCGGTCGGCCCAGCTGTTCAAGAGGGGTGATGATGAGGGAGGGGGAGTGTTGGGATGCGACGCGGCGCAGGTATGACCGTGGGGACAATCGTGACACGTGGGCGGATGAGGATGCGGCTGGGTGGCGGTAACTTTGGAATCAACATTTTTTTTTAACGTTTTCTTTTGTTTTTTGTTCTCTCTTGTTTTGTGGGGGAGCTTCAGTTCTTCTGTAGGGAATTGGATTAATGACGGTGTGTTTAATAATGTACATAGGTACTTAGGTACTGTAGTGACATGTTCGTTTGAGTGGATGTTGTATAAACTAGTACAACATCAAGTGGACTAGTTGATAGGGCTTAAGACTAGGGGTTACTGATTTAATTATTGATTAATTAACCAATAATACTTGTTATTAAGATGTTTGAGTTTATTGACAAAATTAAATTTTTAAAAAACAATATGAGGAAAAATGAATAAATAAAAATAGAATTGAGTAAATATTTGCCTTTTAAGATAGCTAGTAAAGTGTATGTATTGTTCATGATACATAATTTATATTTAATATGATTTTTAATTATATTTTTATTTTATATTATTATGATCTATTCAATTTTTAGTCAAAAATATTTAAAGTTGAAATATAATTTCAAAAAAAAAAATATTTCAAATTCATGATAAAAATGATTGCATAAAAATTTGGGTTGAAAAACCTTCATTTATCTAAGTAATATCAAATTGATTAAATGAATAATATATTAAAAATTATTATTATTATTATTATTATTATTATTATTATTACATTATTATTATTATTATTATTACTAAATAGAATTGTATTTTTTATACTACATTCTCGTGTATCATTAATGTACTCATGTATTTGTTTCATGAGGATTATAAAAAAAAGTAAAAAAAATACAACAACAAAAATAAAATGAACAAGAATAACTACTTTTCAAGAATAAAAATAATTTTCAAACACAAAAAATCTTTAAAAACATATATTTGAACTTAAATGATTATTTTGTTTTTCTAGAAACTAGTGCATAGCCCGTGCGACGCACGGGTAGATAATATTAAATAATAATTATAAATAGGTATCGAGTTAAAGTCAACCAATGGTGTAAGAGGGGAACCACTACTGATCCTATTTTATAAGAGAAAGAAAAAAAAATTATGAATTAAAGATAAAGGTAAACAATATTAACTAATTATTATAACTTAAAGATATTGGTAAACAATATTAAATAATAATTATAAATTAAAGATGTGGGGTTAACATGTGATATAATTTACCATAAAGAACATAAAATTATCTTGTATAAAAGAACATAAAAAATGTATGTTTAAAATATTAAAAACACCTAAAATATTATATAACATATGTAAAAGTATCTAAAATTTTCTATATTATCATTGAAAGAAATAAGAATACATCGTAACCATTATATGGTGTTGTCAGTATTTTTACCGGAGTACAATCGAAAGATTCGTTCCCCGGGTCGATCTCTCGAGGAAGGCGGTTCGGAATCTAGGAATGGTGTTGATAACACATTAAAGAAAAATAAATCTTAAACACTCTAATCAAGATAGTGGTTTTTAATTATCAACTACAAAAGAAAATTCAAACAATGCAAAATCGAACTTAAAAGCAAAGATGAAGATCAAAGGATAAGAAGCTAAGGAGTCGGGGATGATGATTTTCTATCCAATTCAAATATCAAGCTAAGATCATTCGGTTAAATGATTCGAGCAACCTAACGTCTAGAGATAGTCCTCAATAACTCTTCGTAACAAGAGGATAACATAGACGGTAAATCAAACAAATCACACAACACATAGACAATACGTTTCCGAACAAGTCTATTTCATGCGAGCCTAGATCGATCAACTCCTCCTCTTTCGGTTCTAAGAATTGATTAAATTATCCTAGAAGTTCGATGGATTTAAACACATCACACAAGAACGAATCATTTTCAATTGGAGATCAATTGCAAATCGAAGTGTCACTCTTCGACAATAATCAACATTCAATGTACGAGAATTATAAACCCTAGTTAAGAACAACTTGCATAAATTGAGCGATCAACAAGCATGATAATCACAATTAAATTCTAAACATCATCATCATCCCCTAACCCTAGCGAAACGATTTAGCCACTCATATGGAATTCAAAATCAACAATCTCAACAATCAAAGCCATCATATTCATGAATTAGATGAAAAGAGAAACTTATGATTAATAGAAATTTAATATTCGAATCCAATGACAAAGCTAAATCCGGAAAAGTAAAGAGAGAATTGAGCAAAAAGAACGATCTAAAATCTGAGTTTTTAGAGAAGGTGAAAGTGAAAAAAGAATATTGGGGATTGTTCCCACGAGTCTAAGGATCGTTTTGATATATAGTGCGCGAAAAACGGAGCTAAAACGAGTAAAAACGAACAAAAATAAAAACAAGGTCACCCCAGTCACGACTCGCGAGTTGACTCACGAGTCGCCTGGGTCACTGGGGCTGCGCGTCTCTGTTTTTTTCGTGAGGCGCGACACACTGGTTGCGAGGCGCGAGATGCTGGGCGCTGGCGCGCTGGGCGTGGGGCCAGTCGCGGGTCGCGGGCAAGGTCGCGGCTCGCGACTTGGACTGCACTGCGCCTCTTCACGTTTTGGCCTCGTTTGAGCTCGTTCGAACTCGAAATTGGGCGCCGTTTTTTCCTACGTATCGCCAACGAAACCCTCTATTCAACTATGCTCTCGAAACCAATTTTTCCCGAAGAGAAAATTCTCCCGTAGCTGCCGACCTACACACCAAAACCGACAAAACACAAAAGAAAACCGGAAAAACAAACAAAAAACACCTAAAGACTCAAAATGATGGAAAACACATAATAAAACACGAAACGGACTAAAAGCTAAAGAAACGACCTAAAACGGGAGAAAAAAGAAAGATAAAATAAACACGAAAAACGCAACAAAAATGGGACAAACAACTACCCCACACTTAAAATTTTGTTCGTCCCGAACAAAAAGAAAAAAAAAAGAAAAGAAAAGACAAAAAACTAAAAACCAAGCATGGACAACAGTCATTAACAAGATAGCTTCAACATGTTCAACTCCAACAACGAGCATTCAAATGGCACATGCGAACATTACACAACTACATGCTTGATCTCTATACTTCGACTTGGCGTTCTCTCAAGAATGGGAATATATATGTGTGCCTCACTCGAATTCTTATACAGATAAAGATAGGTGCACTCAAATTGGTCGATAACAAGTTCAATCATATGCTTGCCCATTGTCTAACTTCTACTCTAAACCAATCGAAATCGAAACTAGTGCATCAAAAGGTCTTTCAAGGTTGTAACGTGGGCTCTTTGGTTAGGTAGGATAAATATAGGCTAAGTGGCTCGAATTCATTACATAGCTCAAACACCTTACCCCAAGAATAGTACACTCAGCCGGTTGCTCAAACAAACCAGATCCTCCCCCATACTTCTTCTAAAAGCACACGTTTCACCCATTTTATTTCTTCTTTTTTTTTCTATTTTTTTTCTTTTTCTTTTTTTTTTTGAGAACCTTATTGGATATTTTATAATCCATTCGGCTTCTTTTTTTTCTTTCGATTATTTTTTTAATTGAAAAACATAAAAACAGCTCCAAGAAACAACTCCAACCATCATCCCCACCAATTCTTAACCCGCAACTCCAACAACGTCATCATCACAAGGTTATCAACAAAAATCAAATAAGGCTCGAAAAGGGGAGACTAGGGAATAATTTGTAGAGAAAGAAAAGGATAGAATACAATAAACGCCTTATCATATACACAGTTCACAATTCTAATCAATTTATTTCAATGCAGACTTAGGGCAAGTTCTAATCAAACAAGAGCACGACCAATGTATCTCAAGAAACAAATAAGGCTCAAACCTCACTAGGTAAATATATGAATGCCAATCAAAGTAATCGACCAAGCATTTCATCACACTGTGCCTCATATGACCAACATCACAACTCATCGAATTCATCAAACAAGTCTTAACTAATCTTGAAATTTCCAAAGTCCATACTCACAAAAACACACAAAACCTACACTAGACCGGTCCAGTACATAAGCATGCAAAATCCACGTAAACTCCCCCACACTTAAAATGAGGCAATGTCCGACCAAGCAATTTCACATAATGAACCAACCCTAGCAGCTAGTACAAGAACACCAAACTCAGAAGAAAGGACAGAAGGAAGAAGCAACACAAAAAGATAAAAAGAGAAAAGAGTACGCAAACCGAAGATGCTTCGAGTGTAGTAAGCATTCCCATGCAGGCCTTTCGTCCATGCTTAACCCAGAACCACGACACGTCCTGCCAAGAAAAACCCAAAACTCCAAAACTCCCATTATTCAAAGATAAACTAAAAAAGCAAAAAGAAAATAACTAAGAAAACGATAAATCACTTGGGTTGCCTCCCAAGAAGCGCTTGTTTAACGTCATTAGCTTGACGAAACCTAAGTACAAATCAGCCAGGATCCAGAAAGAAGTGGCGATCGTGCCATGCCTTCGTATTTTCCAGAAGTGGTAGCATAGAAAGTTTACTAGAAGGCTGGCACGGTGGATCCGTGTGGCTATGTTCTGTATGAAGCGGTCTCGGGCACGAACAATCACCAAGTACTGACATAGAGCTTTTCTCACCCGAGCTTTGTCATCAACTTCAGGGATAACGAGCACATCCGTGGAACAAGTCGAGCTAAATCTGGCCCACTTGGTAGCACAGTGTAATGGCTCCAAAGGTGAATGCTCCATCTCGGTAGCGGGAGGAGAAACTCGAGAAATGGTGACACGATCAAGTCCATGAATCTCCTCCTCTGAAGCATTGTCGTCCTACTGGAGAGCATCATCTTCCTCTTCGGTCTCACACATGTGCATCGGGAAACCCGTTTGGGCACCAACCATAAGATGGGGGTTGTCGACTTTTGACTCAATAGAGTTGAGACGTGCTGTGAGATTTTCCATTTGAGCGCTCAATCGAGCACCACCGAGCTCAATCTCCCCTTCTCGGTTTGCTAAGGCCGTCATACGATCAAGGATGAGATCAAGTT